GGCTCTGAAGGAGCACCTGTGACTGTCCCTCATTGGATGGATATAGTGACCAACTGGCTGAGGGAGAAGTTCATACAATAACGTTTAACAGCTCTCCTGCCCTAAAAGTCTATGATAAAGGTCTAAGATACCACTAGAACCTTTATCTCTAAGGAGCCAAAGATAACTAGTCAGCGTAGTTTATGGGAGAAGACTTAGAGACCTTTGAAGGAGGTTAGAACCCAGCATGGTGATTGAAACTATCGGTGTTTAGGGTATCCCAAACAAACCAGTTTATTGTACCAGAGTGCCAGGTGTCAATCTTTGTTGGAGAACCTAGAAAAGGACCCTGCGATTGAATTTGGCATGGGTCTTATCACTATCTAAGTGTACTTGGGACATTTAGAATGTAAGCTTTTATCTTGCTGAAGGTCAACCCTTTTGAAGGTCAGCATCAACAGTTTTTTTCCCCATTCCCATGTTCAAATTCCTACACCTCCAGTGGAACCACATGTTAAAATAGTTTTGAACAATATAAAGAGGCTGTTGTGATCATATAAATGGAAGTCGTGTGATAATACATGTGGAACCACCAAAGAGGGAACACAATGCATTCTCATTGGGAGCACTGCTAAGCAGTTTTCAACATTGCCATTCTTAAACTGTATACTGCACAATTTCCGATGCATTGCAGTGCTGCTGCTTCCATACTGTCCCATACAAAAACATTATTGTGGTTGTGTGAGATGGTTGTTGGTTGTTGAGAGTTTCAACAGCGGAAAATGTGGAAAACTTGCCCTTTTGGCTGCCAGTAGAGACACATTGATCACATCCACGGGAATTGTCATAACTTAATTAATAATAATAATAATATAGGTCCTCTTTACCCTCCTTTTCTTTGTAGATGGCATGATGTATTGGAGTCAGGAAGCTAAAGTTGAAAAAGAATCATACTGGTCCAAACCCAAATCTGTAGACGTGGAGATAACGGCTTATGTCCTCATGGCCTATTCCTACCTTCCAAAGCCCTCCAGCAAGAACATTGGGGACATGATGACCATCACTCGCTGGATGTGCAAACAGCAAAACGGAAACGGTGGTTTCAGTTCCACACAGGTAAAGTTTTATTTTTTTCTCTTTGTGGGCCCTAGGGAGATTTTCTATTACTTCCTGTTTTAGATATGCAGAAGGAAATGAGAGAACTGCACTCAGCTCTTAATATGTCACTAAACCCAATCAAAATAATATTCTATAACTTTGTTTTCATCTGGATACCTTGAAATAGAGTGTACAGTGCATGCCGAAATACAAATGTAATTATTTTTTTGGATCCCATGTTCTTTATGATGGCAGCTCTTATGGTCCCACTGTATGTGAGATATAGCCACCCTTCTTGCAAGTTTCCCGCAATGGACTACATTAGTACGATAGAGCGGTGAAGGAAAGAATCTGTCAAAAATAGTCAGTAAACATTGTTTGTGAATTATAGAATTGAGAGGTGTTGATTTATTTCTACTGCTAGATAGGAAACAAATTTTTGGCTTGAGAATTTAGTGACACAGCTATGGGCTGAAAACACGCAGCATTTTTCTTGGACTGAGTGGTGTCATCCGTCTCAGTTGTCTTTTGCAAAACTATTTAAACCCTCCCCCTACTCTATTCTACACAACATAAAAGGCTAATTGATCTGTAGTCCCAAAATAAGACCTGGGAAGACTAACCGGACTCCTTGAGATATCAGAACGTTTTTTTTAGGACAGATTGTTTCCATTTTCAGATAAAACAGTTTTAATGGGACCAAAAGGGAGCAAATAAAAGAGCATTGTTACAGTTTACCAGTTTATCTTATCTCTGTTTTAATATGAATTGATGGATTCAGCAGACTTTTCACAGTGCAGCTTGGTAGCACTGCACTCTCTTATCAGATGATTCTGTGCTATGAATGCTTGCTCACTAAGAACTATAGAGACGAGTATTCAAAACTAGAGATTGTTGGGTCCACATTCCTTTAGGACAAGAAAAAAAAAAAGATGCGATAAAGGCAGAGAATTAATGATAGGATCACAATTAGAGTGACTCTGCAGTTAGCTTCCATGCAGGACATTTGGTTCGAGCGCACCTTTAATTCCAGTTTCTTCATGGACATCAGTCTAATACCATTTACCCGATCCCATAACTTTATGACCACTAATCTAATATTGAGTAGGTTCCCCTTTTGCTGCCAAAATAGTCCTGACCTGTCGAGACATGGACACCTCTAGGTATGCTCTGGTATCTAGCACAAAGTCATTGGTAGCAGATGCTTTAAGTCCTGTAAGTTGTGAGGTGAGACCTCCGTGGATCGGACTTGTTTTTCCAACATGTCCAACAGATGCTAGATTGGATTGATATCTGAAGAATTTGGAAGCCAAATCAACCCTTCAATCTCGATGTGTTCTACAAACCATTCTTGAACCATTTTTATAGTGTGGCAGGGTGCAGTATCCTACTGCAAGAGGTCACTGCCATGAGGGAATACCATTTCCATTGCTCATCAACAATGTTTAGGTAGGTGGTAAATGTTAAAGTAACATCCACATGAATGGCAGGACTCAAGGTTTCCCAGAAGAACATTGCCCAAAGAATCACACTGCCTTTGTTGGCTTGTCTTCTTCCCGTACTGCATCCTAGTACCATCTCTTCCTCATCTAAGCAACACACATGCCCCCAGTCATCTACTGTACATGATGTAAAAGAAAATGATATTCATCAGACCAGGCCTTCTTTTTCCATTGCTCCATGGTCCAGGTCTGATGCACATGTGGCCATTGTAGGTGGATATGGGTCAGTATGGGCACACTGACCGTTCTGCAGGTTTGCATCCCCATACACAACAAACTGTGATGCTCATTTTTTCTGCTTTCAACACCTCAACTTCAGGGACAACATGTTTACTTTTAGATGCCATTGTAACAAAATAAACAATCTTATTCACTTAACCAGCCAGTGGTCATAAAGCTATGGCTGATTGGTTTATATAAAATTGCACTAATTCACCCTTATCTCTGCAAAAGATTCACCTTGTGGTGGATGTTCCAGCTGTGGAGATAGCCTTCAGCAAAAATGGGGTTTACAGTGGGGATCTAAAGTTTGGGCACCCCAGCTACAAATTTGTATTAATGTGCATAAAGAAGCCAAGGAAAGATTGAAAAATCTCCAAAAGGCATCAAATTACAGATTAGACATTCTTATAATATGTCAACAAAAGTTAGATTTTATTTCCATCATTTACACTTTCAAAATAACAGAAAACAAAAAAATGGCGTCTGCAAAAGTTTGGGCACCCTGCAGAATTTATAGCATGCACTGCCCCCTTTGCCAAGCTGAGACCTGCCAGTGTCATGGATTGTTCTCAATCATTGTCTGGGAAGACCAGGTGATGTCAATCTCAAAGGTTTTAAATGCCCAGACTCATCTGACCTTGCCCCAACAATCAGCACCATGGGTTCTTCTAAGCAGTTGTCTAGAAAACTGAAACTGAAAATAGTTGACGCTCACAAAGCTGGAGAAGGCTATAAGAAGATAGCAAAGCGTTTTCAGATGTCAAATATCCTCTGTTCGGAATGTAATTAAGAAATGGCAGTCATCAGGAACAGTGGAAGTTAAAGCAAGATCTGGAAGACCAAGAAAAATATCACTGGAGTTGTGGTACACTATTCTACTATAAAGAGATACTTGTACAAATATGGTCTTCATGGAAGAGTCATCAGAAGAAAACGTCTTCTACGTCCTCACCACAAAAATCATCGTTTGAACTTTGCAAATGAACATATAGACAAGCCTGATGCATTTTGGAAACAAGTTCTGTGGACCCGATGAGGTTAAAATTGAACTTTTTGGCCGGAATGAGCAAAGGTACGTTTGGAGAAGAAGGGGCACAGAATTTAATGAAAAGAACCTCTGTCCAACTGTTAAGCATGGGGTTGGATCAATCATGCTTTGGGGTTGTGTTGCAGCCAGTGGCACAGGGAACATCTCACGAGTAGAAGGAAAAATGGATTCAATAAAATTTCAGCAAATTTTGGATGGTAACTTGATGCCATCTGTGAAAAAACTGAAGTTAAAGAGAGGATGGCTTCTACAAATGGATAATGATCCTAAACACACCTCAAAATCCACGGGGGATTACATCAAGAGGCGTAAACTGAAGGTTTTGCCATGGCCTTCACAATCTTCTGACCTCAACATAATTGAAAATCTATGGATAGGCCTTAAAAGAGCAGTACGTGACAGACAGCCCAGAAATCTCAAAGAACTGGAACACTTTTGTAAGGCAGAATGGGCAAAGATACCTCAAACAAGAATTGAAAGACTCTTGGCTGGGTACAAAAAGCGTTTACAAGCTGTGATACTTGCCAAAGGGGGCAGTACAAGATATTAACTTTGCAGGGTGCCCAAACTTTTGCAGACGCCATTTTTTTTGTTTTCTGTTATTTTGAAAGTGTAAATGATGGAAATAAAATCTAACTTTTGTTGACATATTATAAGAATGTCTAATCTGTAATTTGATGCCTTTTGGAGATTTTTCCATCTTTCCTTGGCTTCTTTATGCACATTAATACAAATTTTTAGCTGGGGTGCCCAAACTTTCGATCCCCACTGTAGATGATGAAATAAAGTAAATCTGTAAGCAAGCAGATAAACAGTTCATATACATACTTTAACTATTTTCCCTGCCTACGGATTTGTTCTTATTTACACACATCTGTGGCACTCCACAGACGGAAAGATCGCTCTACACAGAGATCGCTTCTGCGTTATTGATTTCCTACCCCTGGTTAATCAATCCAATGATCTGTGATTCACCGATAGCTCAATATAAGCTGTGTTTTGCAGGATACTGTTGTTGGTCTGCAAAGTTTGTCAAGATTTGCTACTCTAACCTCTGGGAAGGCGGGAGAAGTGGTCATTGATGTGACCTCAGAGAGAGGATTTCACCACAAGGTCCTTATCAATAGTGATAACAAACTCCTGCTGCAGAAGTTAACACTGCCAGAGGTGCCCGGAGAATACTTGGTGACGGCATCAGGAGCTGGAACCGCCTTCATGCAGGTAAGGATGGTTGGTGTCAGACTTCTGGCTGTGTGTGAGTAAGATTTGAGGTAGGTAAGGGAAAGTGCAGTCAAGCTGGGCCAAGTTCTCTGCTGGTTACTACAGGGTATTTCAATGAAAGATCTAAAGAGGATTAGTACTGTGGTATCTGCAGGCAAAAGAACTAGTAACCAGGATTTCCTGTGGTCTTGCTGTAGCTGATCTTGCCCCTTCACTGACTTATCATGCCTTGTTCAGCACTGTATTTCTGTGTGGAGGTGGCCAACTTGGTAATCTGAAGACTGGTGGGGTAAAGATAGAAGTGGAGGAAGCACAGATTGACAAAATAAACGAAACAAAAGCAGGGAGATTGTTGCACTGTAGGTCATAAGGTACAGCTTCCTCCCCAGAAAGGAGAACAGTGAGCAGCACAATGGTGGCATCACCAAATCTCACTCCAAACCTGGGGAGATTAGCAGTCAAAGGCAGCAATGCCTTAGATGATCTCACACTGCAGATATACAGCTATGAGGCTACATAACAGGAGTGCCATATTATAAGGGAATTTCAGAAAAAGGTAGATTTTTCAGGGCACTGCTTAGGCACAATTTAATTTAAGCTCAACTCCACGAATTACAAAAAAAACAACCCTGCAATGGATTCCACCCACATTTCAAGGAATAAATGCTCATTGACTCAAGGAGATGAGGAATAAGTTGTAGTATTTGCCTTATAGTTACATGGTTAGTCTGGCTGAAAAAAGACAAACGTCCAGGTGATACACAGAGATGAAATAAATCCTCCTACATAAGTTTTACCTGTTTATCTGCATCCATCTTTCCCCTACATCCATTCAAAGTGCAGAATTTACACAGGATCTCTCAGCTTTGAAAAGCGGTTGGCCAGACCTGATTGGAGGGAAGGGATCCCCCCTTCACATAGCACAAAGGAACAGAGCTAAGGCTGTCATTTTTCTCTTGGTGTCAGGAAAACTCATCAAAAGCGACTCATACTGATAGCAGAAGAACAAGACAGTAGACAGAAATGACACTAAGTGCTCTGAACTGACACGTACACACTATAGAGGGATATGCTTTGTTCATATTTAAGGTTTACAACCACTTTAACCCTACTCTAACCCTAAGCATTTCCCAAAAATGATTAACTGTTAATCCCAACCTGTGATGGCAATACTATCACAATGAAAGTGTTGTGTGCAGGGGCGGACTGACCATTCAAGCACTCGGCACTGCCCGAGGGCCCGGGGTCAGTAGGGGGCCCCATGAAATGCCCCTGGTACCTTTTTATAGGCTTTTTTTGGTGTGCTTTGAGTGTGGTCAAGGACACAGGGGCCCCATGATCCCCTATCGCCTGGGGGACCCATGAGTTGTTAGTCCGTCCCTGGTTGTGTGGTAAAATTTTGGGTCAGAATCAAGAAGTATAAAAGTTTATATTCCGCTATAGCTTGTTACTTGGCTACCTCTGAGCCCCAGAACAAAATGTAGTGTATGGCAGCTTACCAGTCCTTAAATATGATGGTTGCCTGTTTTTCTTTTATAATTTTTTTTTCTTTCACCCAGTGATCCAGTAATACATTTCCTATCCTATAGAGACAACATTCACTCACCATACCATATCAAGACAACAGAAACAAGGGTACACAAGGGAGTGTTCTGTAGTTCACTGAAATAGCAGGGAACAATGTAACTGATAAGAATGCAATACTGGCAGAAAACACAGGAAGTTATCAGCTAACAAGATTTCTGGCAGGATCAACAGATATTCTTTGCACTTTTAGATCATATATAACAAAACACGTTTAATGGTATATTGAACAGACAGACAGGGTGCAAGTTCAATATTAGGGTTTATATACACTTCCAATAGAAGGTACGTATAGCTATATGTGTAATAGAGAGTCCATTCCAGCAACTCTGAGCCTCGAGACTAGTGGAAACAAGTAGCCATTTGGTGATTCATAAACCCAGAGTTTTACATGGAATGGTCCTTTTATCCATTGTTGTGTAGGACAGTATGTTTATGTTGTATTGATATCACACAGGTCATCCAGCGTTACCATTCCCCCCCAGAAGTAAAGGACGCTGCATTTTCCTTATCGGTACAACCCCAATGTTTGGAAGATGGAAAACTGGCGATCTTATTGGAATTCTGGTGAGAACATTCGTATCAGTCTTTGCATCAGAGGAGCTTACACTCTAATGTCCCACCACAGCCACACTATATTATTATACATTTATTATATATGTACAGTTATACTATATAGCTCTGACATATTCCACAGTGCTGTACAGAGAACACTCAGCCAGTTACAGTTTCTGCACCAGAGGAGCTTACACTCTAATGTCCCACCACAGTCACACCCTATTTTTTTACATGTATATATCTCTGACATATTTTGCAGTGCTGTACAGAGAACACTGAGCCATCTGCACCAGTCTCTGCACCAGAGGAGCTTACACTCTAATGTATCACTGCATTCACACACTATTATTATACATGTATATAGCTCTGACCTATTCCATAGTGCTGTACAGAGAACACTGAGCCAGTCACATCAGTCTCTGCACCAGAGGAGCTTACACTCTAATGTATCACCGGATTCACACACTATTATTATAATACATTTATATAGCTCTGACATATACCACAGTGCTGTACAGAGAATACTGAGCCATCCGAATCAGTCTCTGCACCAGAGGAGCTTACACTCTAATGTATCACTGCATTCACACACTATTATTATACATGTATATAGCTCTGACATATACCACAGTGCTGTACAGAGAACACTGAGCCAGGACACATCAGTCTCTGCACCAGAGGAGCTTACACTCATGTCCTACCACACTCACACACTATTATTTTCACGAACATGTATGGCAGCTACAGGCATCATCCCTTTTTTCTCAGTTGGAAACCGGCTTTTATGTAAAAAGCCATCCTGGCAGCTAATTAACTGAGGCGGATGGGTTTTGCCCCCCCCCCCCCCCCACTGGTGCCTCTCCAGGCTCTACTGTCCACCAGCAAGCCTGGAATGAAAGCTGGCTGTTCCTGCTGGTTTACCATAGAACTTGTTAAGGACTGGAAGGTCACCAATAAGCTCTATGGTATAGGAAGCCAGAAGCAACAAGCAATTTCGTCACTTCCAGTTTCCCAGGATGTAGACAGCACCAATTTTTACATTTGGAAAGTATCTGATCATCAATCTTGGTGTGATCAGTTGCTTTAAATGGCAGAGGAGACATCTGGGGTCTAATACACCCCAGATCCCTCCATAAAGTGTACCTGTCACTCCCTATTGCTGTAACAAGAGATGTTTACATTCCTTGCAACAGCAATAAAAGTAGTTTTAAAAAATTAAAGAAGCAGTGTGAAAAAAAAATACAATTTAAACTTTTTTATAGTGCTCCTGTCTCTCCGCATAACACATAGGTGATCACACATACATATGTAAAAGTGATCGCACCACACACATGAGGTAATGCTGAGAATGTCAGAGCGAGAGAAATAATTTCTAGTACCAGACCTCCTCTGTAATTTTAAATTTGTGACATATAAAGTTTGTCGCCATTCCATGAGCGTGCGCAATTTTAAAGCGTGACATGTTGGGTATCTGTTTACTCAGCGTAATACCCTCTTTTATTTATTTTTACCAAACAACTGGGTTATTATATATTGTGTCTGCGTGCATTCAAATTAATGAAAAGCTTATTTTTTCAAAAAAAAATTTGCATTTGAAAAAACCGCTGCGCAAATACTGCGTGACATAAAACAATGCAAAGCCCACCATTTTATTCTCTAGGGGCCTCTGCTAAAAATTGTGTGTGTGTCTATGTATTTATTTATTATATATATATATATATATATATAATATATATATAATGTTTTGGGATTCTAAGTAATTTTTCTAACAAAAAAAGACTGATTTTTACTTGTAAACAAAAAGTGTCAGAGAAAGGTTAGGTCTTCAAGTGGTTATGATAATCAGTAAATTAAAGTGTTGATGAATGAGTTCATGTTATGAAGTAGAATTTATCTTTTAGGTGGAGGTGGCCAAACAAATAACATGCTCTGTTGGCTATCATCTCAGGTATACAGGAAGTCGTAGTGGGGAATACCAACATGGTGCTTCTGGAGGGGTCCAGTCGTTGTCTGGCTTTGTTTCCCTGCCAGAGTCCATAGAAGAGGTGAGTATAATTAGAGATGAGCGAAGTATTGAAAAATTCGATTCGGCTGATTCGGCGAAATTCCAGTATGAAATTCGATTCGATGCGAATTTCTTCGCTATGAAGATGGCTTAATAAAAAGGGTTTCTAGGCTTCATGGGGGAGAGCCTTTAAATTAGTGCGGGGACACTGGTACTTTAATTTAAATGCCCAGTTAGGGAGATCAGGAAGGTGAAGGGGTGAAGGGAAGAGAGAAGGATGAGAAAGAAGGAGAAGGATGAGAAGAAGGAGAAGGAGAAGGAGAAGGATGAAGACAAAGAGAAGAAATGGGGGAAGGATGAAATGATGAGAAGGAGAAGGATGAGAAAAGAAGAGAAGGAGAAGGTATGTAAGAAGGAGAAGGAGAAGGAAGAGAAGAAAGAAGAAGGAGAAAGGATGAGAAGAAAGGAGAAGGAGGGGAGGAAGAGGAGAAGGATGATAAGGAAGAGGAGAAGGGATAAGGATGAGAAGAAAGAGAAGGAAGAGAAGAAGGCGAAGAGAAGAGATAGGAGAAGATAAGAGTGGAAGGGAGAAGGGATGAGAATACTGAAGAACCTGGAGAAGGATGAGAAGAAGGAGCTAAGGAAAGGGATGAGGGAGAAGGAGAAGAAATGAGAAGAAGGGCGAAGGAATCCCCACCCTGAGAAGAAGGAGAAGGATGAGAAGAAGAAGTGTTGGAAGAAGGATGAAGAAGAAAAAGGGGGAAAAGGATGAGGAAGGAGAAGGATGAGGAGAAAAAAAGGAGAAGGATGAGAAGAAGGAGAAGGAAGATAGGAGAGAAGGAGAAGGATGAAAGAAGAGAAGGTGAAGGATGAGAAGAAGGAGAAGGATGAGAAGAAGGAGATAGGAAAGGAGAAGAAAGGAGAAGATGGATAGCGGAGGATGAGAAAAAGGAGAAGGATGAGAAGAAGGAAGAAGGATGAGAAGAGGAAGGAAGAAGGATGAGACAAGGGGGAAAAGGAGAAGCAGAAGGAGAAGGATGAGAAGAAGGTGGAGAAGGATGAGAAGAATGGAGAAGGAAATAAATGAGAAAAGGAGAAAGGAGAAGGATGAGGAAGAAGGAGAAGAGGAAGAAGCGTAAAGAGATTGAGGAAAAGGATGAAGGAGTGAGAAGAAGGAGAAGGATGAGTTTTTTGGGGAAAGGAAGGAAAGGAGAAGGATGAGAAGAAGGAGAAGAGGATGAGAAAGAAGGAGGAGGAGTGAGAAAGGGAAAAGAAGGATGAAGTGAAGTAAGGAGAAGGATGAGAAGAAAGAGAAGGGGGAGAAAAGGAAAGGATGAGAAGAAGGAGAAGGATGAGGAGTCGGGGGAGAAGAAAAGAAGCAGAAGGGAAGGATGCAGCTTCAAGAAGGAACTGGAAGGAGAAGGATGAAAAGATGGAGAAGGAAGAAGAAAAGGGGAGAAAGGAGAATGGTTATTTGTAAAGAAGGAAAGGAAGAGAAGGAAATTTAGAAGGATAGGATGAGAAGAAGGAGAAGGATGTAGAAAGAAAGAGAAAAAGAAGAAAAAGGAGAAGAAGAGGAAAAAAGAGAAGAAGGAAAAAAAAGAGAAAGAAGGGGAAGGATAAAAGCGAAAAGGAAGGGGAAGAAAAAGGAAAAAGGAAGAGTGGGGGAATGCGGATAAAAAAAATGGGAAAGGAAAGAAGAAGGAGAAGATGAGGAAAGAAGAAAAAGGAAAAAGGAAGAAAGAGGGAGGAAGGTAGAGAAGAAGGAAGGGAGAAGGATGAAAAGAAGGGAGAAGGAAATGAAAAGAAAGAGAAGGAAAAAGAATGAGAAGAAAAGAGGGAAGGATGAGAAAAGGAGAAGGAGAAATGAAGAGAGAAGGAAAAGGGGGAGAAGAAGGAGAAGGAAAGGATGAGAAGAAAGGAAAAGGATGAAAGAAGGAGAAGGATGAAAGAAGGGTAATAAAAAAGCAGAAGTGTAAGAAAAGAAGAAAAAGAGAGAAAAGGGAGAACAAAAGAAAGAGAGGGGAAGAGTTAAGAAGAAGGAAAAGGAGAAGGAGGAGAAATGTTTGGAAAAGAAGGGATTGAGAAGAAGGAGAAGGAGAAGGAGGAGAAGAAGAGGAATGCAGGGAGAAAGGTATGATGAAGTAAGGAAGAAGGGAAAAGGATCGAGAATGGAAGGAAAAGGGAGGGATGAAAGAGGGATGAGGAGGCGGGAAAGAAAGAAGTAGAAAGAAAGGATGAAGAAAGGAGCAAGATGGATCAATAAGACCCGGAGAATCTAAAATGCAGAAGGCAAGGAGAATGGATGAGACAAGGGAATGACAAAGGGTTGTGGCAGCGTGTACAGTTTACACACTGTCACTATTTCTGACAGTTCTAGTGGGGAAGATTCAGATCCGTCCAAGGCAGACAGGTTACAAACCGAGCGTGTAATGGAGTGGGTCCCAGAACCTGTCAGAGAAATACGACTTAATTTCCTGAGAAGTTCTGGGACGCAATTCACTAGCCATAAACAGGGGGGTGTTCAAACCGGGCTGTATGGAGGAACAAGAAGGGATGTCATAAGAAACCGTCCAGAAAAAAGCAACAGGATTCCGAAAAACTACTTCTGGGACAATTCGCTTCCATACAGGGACTCGGTGGGTGAAATGAATTAATACCGTATAGTGGTCCATGTCCCGAAAAGGATCAATTAGGGGGGGGAGATGGAAACGGACTGGGACTTTAAATAACAACAAGGTTTTTCAAGCCGGTTAGGCGGTGTCAGAGAAGGAATAGTCCGGAGAACGTAGGGTCATAAAATAAGTCGGGGCGTTGGGGACAGTTCTCCTATGGTCACATTCCCCGGCCATACAGCGGTTTCAACCGCTGTAAGGGAAAGGGCGGGGCAAACTGTTAGAAAATAGACTACATTTCTGACATTACTGGAATACATTCACTCTCCATACAGGGTCCCGAAACCGCTGATGGAGGGAATGATCATAGAACTGTCGAAATCAAGACTATTATCCTTAAAAGTTCTGGGTTCAGGTACGAATTCCAATAACAAGGCGGCCTTGAAACATTGGAGGGTGAAATCTGTTCTCTCCTACATGGGGGAAAAGGGGGATCCAATTTAAAGGAAACAAAATAATACAATGTTTTCAACTCGCTGTATGAAAGGAATGTCCCAGAAAAAGGCTGAGTCAATAAAGATGAAAATTTGGAGAGGTCTATGCCAAATCACCCTGAGGTAGTGCGGTTTTCAACCGGCCTTGAAAAGAATGGAGTGAAAATCCCAAACTTGTCATAAGATAGTCAATTACTGACAGGCCCCATCGTGAACATTCCACTCCCATACAGTGGAAGGGTTGAAACATTTAGTTTATCTATTTTTTTCTGCATAAAAGAACATTCTGCATATACAACTTAGAGGAGTCGCTGCAGATACAGGAGGGGAGAAAGGCTTTGGAATTATTTCTTACTTTTAAAATCCTACTTCTTCTTATCTTCTTCTTATGAGGATGAAGAAGAAGAAGTAGGATGAAAAAAAGATTAATTCCCAAGCCGGCAAAAATGTGTATCTGCAGCGCTTTCCCTCTATAGAATATAAAAAGCAGGAACAAAAATTTGGCAGAATGTCATTTATGGAAAAAAATAGAATACAATGTTTCAACCGCTGATATGGAGTGAATGTTCACCCAGAACTGGTCATAAATAGTCTATTTCCTGAGACAGTTCTATGACATTCCCCTCCATACAGAGCGTTATTTGAAACCGCTGTATGGGGAGTGAATGTCCCAAAACTGTCAGAAATAGTCTATTTCTGACAGAATTATGGGACATTCCTTCCTACAGTCGGTTGAAACATTGTATCTATTTGTTTTTCCATAAATGACATCATCCTCTCTGCAAATACACTTAGAGGAGCGCTGCAGATACACTTTTTTGGCCGTGCTTGGAATTAATCTTAATGGTTTCATCCTACTTCTTCCTTCTTCGCTTCTTCTTCTTCGTCATCCTTCATCCTTATAAACTAAGAAGAAAGAGGATGAGGATGAAGAAGAAGAAGTAGGGCAAAAAAGTGTATCTGCAGCTGGCCTCCTCTAGAGGGTGTTATCTTGCAGAATGTCAATTTATGGAATAAAAAATAGAGTCTGATACAATGTTTATCAAACCGCTGTATGGAGTGTGAATGTCCCATTAACTGTCAGAAATAGACTATTTCTGACAGTTCTGGGACATTCACTCCATACAGCGGTTTCAAACCGCTGTATGGAGGGAAGATGTCATAGAACTGTCAGCGTTATGAATAGACTATTTCTAACAGTTTCTGGGACATTCCTTCCATACAGCGTTGAAACATTGTATCTATTTGTTTCCATAAATGGATCCATTTATGGAAACAAAAGATACAATGTTTCAACCGCTGTATGGAAGGACAGTAAACCCCAGAACTGTCATTAATAGTCTATTAATTCTGACAGTTCTATGACATTCCCTCCATACAGCGGTTGAAACCGCTGTAGCAGGAGTGAATGTCCCAGAACTGTCAAGAAATAGTCTGATTTATGAGAAGATTATGGACATTCACGATCCATACAGCGGTTAAACATTGTATCTAATTTTTTTCCATAAATGACATTCTGCATATACACTTAGAGAGCGCTGCAGATACACTTTTTGCCGGCTTGGAATTATTCTTATTTTCATCCTACTTCTTCTTCTTCTTCTTCATCCTCTTCATCCTCCTCTTTTTCTTCTTTTTCTTCTGAGGATGAGGATGAAGAAGAAGAAGAAAATAGGATGAAAATAAGATTAATTCCAAGCCGGCAAAAAGTGTATGTGCTGAGCGCTCCTCTAAGGTTTGTAATGTGGGCTAAAAATACCAGAGCTCCTCTAAGTGAACACATGCTGCAGAATAGAGGAACTCTGCACATACACTTTTTGCCGGCTTGGAATTATTCTTATTTTCATCCTACTTCTTCTTTCTTCTTCTTCTTATGAGGATGAGGATGAAGAAGAAGAAGTAGGATGAAAATAAGATTAATTCCAAGCTGGCAAAAAGTGTATCTGCAGCGCTCCTCTAAGTGTATTTGCAGAATGTCATTTATGGAAAAAAATAGATACAATGTTTCAACCGCTGTATGGAGGTGAATGTCCCAGAACTGTCATAAATAGTCTATTTCTGACAGTTATGGGACATTCCCTCCATACAGCGTTTTTCCGGCAAAAAGTGTATGTGCAGAGTTCCTCTATTCTGCAGATACACTTAGAGGAGCTCTGCAGATACACTTAGAGGAGCTCTGCACATACACTTAGAGGAGCTCTGCACATACACTTTTTGCCGGCTTGTAATTATTCTTATTTTCATCCTACTTTCTTCTTCTTCTTCATCCTCATCCTCTTCTTCATTCTGAGGATGAGGCTGATTGAAGAAGAAGTAGGATGAAAATAAGATTAATTCCAAGCCGGCAAAAAGTGTATGTGTGCAGAGCTCCTCTAAGTGTATCTGCAGAGCTCCTCTAAGTGTATCTGCAGAATAGAGGAACTCTGCACATACACTTTTTGCCGGCTTGGAATTAATTCTTCTTTTCATCCTACTTCCCTTCATCTTCTTCTTCATCTTCTTCATCCTCACCTCATCCTCAGAAGAAGAGGATGAGGATGAGGATGAAGAAGAAGAAGAAGAAGAAGTAGGATGAAAAGAGGAATAATTCCAAGCCGGCAAAAAGTGTATGTGCAGAGTTCCTCTATTTCTGACAGTTCCTCTGACAGCTTCTTCACATGTACAGCGGATGAAACATCTTATCCTAAATGGAAACTAATAGATACAATGTTTCAACCGCTAAACATGTGTTCCTTCTGTCAGAGAACTGTCAGAAATAGCAAGAGCTCACTGCAGGACACTTTTGCCGGCTGAATCGGGAAATGTTCGATTCGCGCTACACGGCGGCCGAAGTAGGCAAAACTTTTCGGATTCGAGTCTAACGCGAATCGAATATTTCCTGAAATTCGACATTCGAATATCCGGTTCGCCTGGTTCGATTCGCTCATCTCTAAGTATAATGGCCATAACAGGGAATATATTCCCACCTTTCCTAAGGAGTCAAGTCCAGCCACAGTGAAAATGTATTTAAATTGGGTAACTTTATAGGATTTTGGTTAATACGGAGAAAAAGTGTTAAATATTGAAAACCGTATTCTCTGTAAATATATCCGTTCTTTCCCTGGGTTTCACTGGCTGATGAGGCCACAAGGGAGATGTCCTTCTGAAATGGGACATTTGTATTAAAGTGTTACTAAACCCAGGACCCTGCATCACTCTATCTGGTCTCCCTCCCACAGTACACAGAACATGGGAAATGGAAATTATTTTAGTAAATCTATAAACTGCTAAATACCTTTTATCAATCAGCAGTTAGAGCAAGTCTTGTGACTTCTATCAGTGTCCAGCCAAGCACTGGTTAACAGTTTGTAGGAGGAGTTTTCTTTTCTCCTCTAGGAGGAGTGTAAAACCCCTGACCTCTGTCTGGACAGTGCTGAGTTTGGCCCTGTGCTAGATCACATGCACTCAAAAAAAACCTCTCTCTTCTAGCAATACACAGTAAACTGCGGGCATGTGCATAAGGGGCCACTGGTTTGGTCTTTCTTATCAGGTGGACATTTGAACAAGAGAGAGGGGCAGGGAAGTTAAAATCAAACCTTTTTTACAAAATGCAGAAGATTAACCCCATTAGGTTTCCACAGTGAGTATAACAAGCATGCTTTACTGCATATAGAGACTGATTTTACTGTTGTGGGGTTTAGTAACACTTTAATTTCTTTGAGTATGGGTGTGTTGTGGTGTTTTCAGGTTGGATCACACCAGGTGACCCCAACCTAACAAATAACATTTAGATGTTTGTACAGTGAAACAGACCAATTAAACCTTTCTGTGGATTCTTTTTAGAACAAGCTTTAAACCAGAACTCCCCCAATTATTAAACAGGATTTTAGCCTAACCCTGTGAGATGTACATTACAGGACACAGGCTCTTTTAAGTCTTAGGCAATTGGGTTATGCAGCTGCCTTCAGGGATTGGGATGACAAAGCTACAAGGACACAGCCCTGTATTAACCCCTATCATTTCGACCCAGCAAGCCAACGTGTTTTATCAAGCAGTAATAGCAGTGTCCTGATGTACACCAAATAAAAGGATTTTACAGGTAAAGTGAAAAATCCTTGTTTCCCTATTATGTACATTACAGGACATGGGCTCTTTAAGTCTTAGACTATTGGGACAATCCCAAAGCAGTGCAAAAAAAAAATGAAAAAAAACTGAAGGGTGGACAACACAGCAAACAAATGTCAACGCAGGCCCACATTGTAAATGGTTCAAGGAAGGACTTAAAGAAACTCTGACTGTGGTTTGAAGCACCTTACGAGAAAAACTGGCATTTGAGTAGGAAATCTGAACATCTACTTAGTAAAAACGTAAATGTTAGGTACACAGAACACCAGGTGGCCACCTTGCAAATCTGAGAAACAAATGCTTAATGATGAAAAGCCCATGAGGTACTAACAGATCTGGTGGAAATGTGATTTGACAGGAAAGGGGTGGAGCTCTTAACCTTTAAACCATACACTTGATTGATGGAGAATGCCTGAAATCAATGAAGTAAGAGGCAGGGTGTCCCCTACAGGGACTTTCAGGAATGATGAAGAGTGAATCTGACAGACAGACAGACAGACAGACAATCTAAAAGCATGTGTAGCCCCAAAGACAGGCTTCAACATAAAGTACAATATCAGACAGTGAGAGAAGAGTTAAAATCGTCCTTTAGGATGCAGGACATAGAGAGACAGAGCCAGGATGAGATCCCATGCAGCCACTGGAGAACACACGGGGCAACGATGGGAGCAATACCCTGTATAAATGTGTCACCAAGGAATAGTAGAAGCAAGCGGTTTTTTGGAAAAGAATGTCCAGAGCTGGAACCTGACCTGAGTAGGTACTTGAGGCCAAATGCTGGTCTGGACTGAAGAAATAGCAGAATTTCTCTCCTGCCTGAAGTTCCTGGCATTGAAATTGCTGCTGGCTTTGCCATTCAGTAGCAGTGGACCAGGAAACAGAATGGTAAGCCAGTCATTGCGACAGAAAATCCTGGAGAATCTGATCTGAGAAAGGCTCACAGATAGACATGGTCAATGCTTCTGGCAGACTGAGTACCACATCTTCCTAAGTCAGTTTGGTGCAATGAGGACCAATGAGGGCAATAGCCTTAGTATTAATCCTGCAGTGCAGGTGAAGAAAGAGCTTCAGCACTGGGGAAAGGCATAAAACTCATTCCACAGAGTCAACCAGGGCATCCATCAAAAATAGCCCTAGGAATCCCTAGTCCTGGAGACAAAATCTGTCGAGTTTGTTTTAAAACCTGGAAGCTAAGAGGTTTACGCCTGGCATCCCAAACTTGTGACAGAGCTTGAAACATTTCCAGGTGAAGGGGACCATTCTCCAGAGTCTAGATGTTGACAACTGAGGAATGAAGTCTGCCTGCCCTGCCCATTTTCCATTCCTGGGGATGTGCACCAGCAGTTAGAGCTGGGGAACAGGACAATTCTGCCCAAGTGGGATGAGGTCTGGCTTGTCTTTGACCTCTATGTGACTATTCCTGGTGCCCCCCTATGTGGCATTGCTGACTGAATTGTTGTCAGGTGACCTTGCAGCTCAGAGATCCAGAGGTCTTACTGAATCCAAGTCGAGTGACCTGCACCTGTGTGGTCCAGCATAGAAAGGACAATTGAATTGCTCTGAGCTACAGATTATTGATCTCTACAACCCCTACACCAATAGGTCACCCAGACCCCCTCCCCCTCATACAGGGAATGTGAGCAGAGAAGCAGCGAAGGAAAGTAGCTTCTGGGGACTGCTCACAGTCTGGTGTGGTGGAAGCTGATCATAGCGAGGAATAAAAACCATGTTGACAGATGTTGGACCCAAAAGGTAGAATATAATAATGTTTAAAACCAAATTTTAGAGGCAGCTCTCTGTCATCCGGGGTATCTCTTGGGATCCTTGGAGTAGCCTGAAGAGTGTAGAAGGGATAAGCATGCCACAGATCTAATGTAAGTCCAGTAAATCTTATATTGTGTATGACAAGAAGTCAGAAGAGAAACCCATGTGTTTGGGGAGCTCAAAAACCTTCATCAGGGCTTATATGCTGGCAGTAATGGAAGAGAATACTGATCAACAAACTGCAAAATAAATGAATAAGATGATACTAATTTTGGCTACCATTAAGGGTAGTATTACAGCTTAAGTCCTCTACCCGCTAGACTTAAAGTGGAAGTGTAGTCAGAAAATGAAGCCCTGCTAGATCAGTTCAGGCTAGACCCTTTTGCAGGTATAGCTACTGCATGTAAAACATTAAAAATAAGTGCTTATACTGTTTTAAAATCCAATAATTCACTGTCCCACATTGTTCGGCACATGCTCAGTTTCTGTCTTTTGTTAGGCACTGTGCCGAAAATCAGAACCACTAGAGGCCAATTTGCAGACAGCATAAAGATTTACTGCTGCGCAAGGGTTCTGGGCTTCAGCAAAATGGCAGAAACAGGAACAATGCTGGAGGCAATTTACAACACACACTAATTTTGGTAGCATAATTAGTCATGTGGAATGCTAAGGAACATTATTTTTTTATCAAGTTGTTATGGGTAAGGTTCAACTTTAACCCTAGCAAGGTGGGGTGGAGGCGGGAACTTCAAGGGTAAATTTTGCTGCTGCCTAGAATGAGGATTTTAATTTTCCTCTATAGCAGGGGTAAAGACAAAGATGTAGAAATGCCATGATTTGTCACCATGGTGTTTATGCTCAATCTATGTAATATATGTTTTATTTTAAGATGACCAATTTCACAAATATATGCAATAAAAAAGGAAAAACTTTAAAAAGTCCATTAGTTTCCCAATAAATATGGAATACTTGTACCTTTACAGATAAAGAAAGACTCGGATGTGAAGCGGGTGGAAGTCAAGGATGATTTGATTGTTATCTATTGGGAAAAGGTAGGACACAGAACAGTGACCAAGTAACTTTACCTACTGATCATAGAAGTTGAATGTCTCTCTTTTTAATGTGGCCCTAATGGATCCACACGTAGATATACCACTTTTGTCCTTGTGCAGTGCTATGTAAGACTTTGGTGTTAATTCTCTTATCTCTGAGTAGATCACATCAGACCACGAGACTCTGGAAATTTTCTTTAAGCGCTCAGTCCAGGTGACCGGGCTGAAACCCGCCTATGTTAAGATCTTCGACTACTACATGCCTGGTAATGTGACTTCTAAATGTCTGTCTGCTACACCCTCCCCCCATAACACATCGTGTTACTTTATGTTGAAGCAACATTGCCCCATATGGAGTGTTATAGATCAGAATAGAATATTGTGAAAATAATTTTTATTGATAATTGTTATTACTGGCTTCCACTTTCTGTCTACATGCACAACAGCAATTATTATACAGGAGTTATATAGCGCCAACAGTTTGCTCAGCGCTTTACAATATAACAGGAGACAATACAGCAACAATACAGTTCAATACAAGAGGGATAGGAGGGCCCTGCTCCTTGGAGCTTACAATCTAGGAGGAATAGCCACATGCCATTTCCCATGGCGGTTTCGAGTTGCTGATGGTGCCAACAGTGAACCATGATACATGGTGTGTCACATTGTAACATGAAGTGCCTGAACAAGGACTCCCATGGCAGTACCAGCAGGGATTTTTTAAACTTAACTCCATGAGTGATACTATTGCATACTTAAACTGGTCCACACTGGTCCAGCTTGCAAATTTCAAGACTGATGGGCTGCTGGGGAAGCTGACAATCTCTGTACAGCGATACGACAGTGATAGTTGTGATCTTCTGGATCACGATTGGATGAAGTGAAGAGTGGATATGGCATCACAATGCCCACCTTGACCAAAGAATGTCTTGTATTCACTGAAAAAAATATGAGTACTATTGTAGGCAGGTACAATCTACTTTCTCCACTGCGGGTGGCACGCAACTGCATTGCAGTTTGAAGGGAAGTCAGGAGGAACATGGTTCCTCTATGGTTTTCTGGATCACTGGGGAGCTATTTGATTGAATGCTGCTGCCCCACGTGACTCTGGTGGCCATCTTGGGTCAGGCCGAGTTTATTTGAGACCCTGGCTCCAGGGCTTGGTGTGCGATTAGTGTAGGGACAGGTCACCCATCTGTCAGGGACAATATTAGCGGCAGGGAGAGGTTTCAGATGAGTAGCGAAAGAGTAGGGACAAATTGTCTTTCTTGAATGCCTCTACATGTGGGCCTGGTCCTGGCCATTCCATTCCTTGAGACAGACACTGTCGATGCACCCAAGACCTACTGTTTCACTCTTCACCGCAACATTCCATGAGTGTGCCCAGTCAGGTTGTCCTCCCCACAGTTTGCTAAACTTTAAAGTCAATACAGTTCTGTTTCTGTAACTGGACTCTGCGTGTTCACTGCTGTCGCACCATGCTGCACCTCCCCACATTGGGAATGGTGGCAGTGTTGACTGAGCAACCTACTGTGGTAAGTGGGCAGAGAACAATATGCTCATATAGAAACCAACAAGCAGGGCTGCTGTTAGAAACCACAGGGCTCCATACAGCCAACCTGACAGGGTCCCCTTAAAAAAAAAAAACAACAACAACACAGTTTACTATGCTTCAGTTATGAATGAACAGAGTTGGTGATCAGTACCAATATGTTCATTCAGGAAAGGAAGGGGCTGGTTAATGTGACATATTTATCAGGCTCTTCCCCCACTCTCCATCCTGAAGGATTCTATTGTGTTCTTGCAGCTGCCAGTGGGAAGGAGAGAAGGAAGCCGGAACTGTGGGGGCCCTGGCAGCTGGGTGAAATACAGGTGAAACTCGAAAAATTAGAATATCGTGCAAAAGTTCATTTATTTCAGTAATGCAACTTAAAAGGTGAAACTAATATATGAGATAAACTCATTACATGCAAAGCAAGATAGTTCAAGCCGTGATTTGTCATAATTGTGATGATTATGGCTTACAGCTCATGAAAACCCCAAATCCACAATCTCAGAAAATTAGAATATTACATGCAATCAATAAAACAAGGATTGTACATAGAATAATATAGGACCTCTGAAAAGTATAAGCATGCATATGTACTCAGTACTTGGTTTGGGCCCCTTTTGCGGCAATTACTGCCTCAATGCGGCATGGCATGGAAGCTATCAGCCTGTGGCACTGCTGAGGTGTTATGGAAGACCAGGATGCTTCAATAGCGGCCTTCAGCTCTTCTGCATTGTTCGGTCTCATGTCTCTCATCTTTCTCTTGGCAATGCCCCATAGATTCTCTGTGGGGTTCAGGTCAGGCAAGTTTGCTGGCCAATCAAGCACAGTAATCCCACGGTCGTTGAACCAGGTTTTGGTGCTTTTGGCAGTGTGGGCAGGTGCCAGGTCCTGCTGGAAAATGAAGTCAGCATCCCCATAAAGCTTGTCTGCAGAAGGAAGCATGAAGTGCTCCAAAATCTCCTGGTAGACGGCTGCGTTGACCCTGGACTTAATGAAGCACAGTGGACCAACACCAGCAGATGACATGGCTCCCCAAATCAACACAGACTGTGGAAACTTCACACTGGACTTCAAGCATCTTGCAGTGTGTGCCTCTCCATTCTTCCTCCATACTCTGGGTCCTTGGTTTCCAAATGAGATGCAAAAGTTGCTCTCTTAAGAAAAGAGGACTTTGGACCACTGAGCAACAGACCGGGTCTGTTTTTCTTTAGCCCAGGTAAGAGGCTTCTGATGTTGTTTGTTGTTCAGGAGCGGCTTGACAAGAGCAATACAACATTTGAATCCCATGTCCAGGATCCGTCTGTGTGTGGTGGCTCTTGATGCACTGACTCCAGCCTCAGTCCACTCCTTGTGAAAGTCCCCAACACTTTTGAATGGCCTTTTCCTGACAATCCTCTTCAGGCTGTGGTCATCCCTGCTGCTTGTGAACTTTGTGAACATCCAACTTCTTTTGCAATTACCTTTTTGAGGCTTTCCCTCCTTATGGAGGGTGTAAGTGATGGTTTTCTGCACAACTGTCAAGTCAGCAGTCTTTCCCATGATTGTGATTCCTACTGAACCAGACTGAGAGACCATTTAAAGCCTCAGGAACTCTTTGCAGGTATTATGGCTTAGTTAGCTGATTAAAGTGGGACACTTTGAGCCTAGAATATTGCACCTTTTCACAATATTCTAATTTTCTGAGATTGTGGATTTGGGGTTTTCATGAGCTGTAAGCCATAATCATCACAATTATGACAAATCACGGCTTGAACTATCTTGCTTTGCATGTAATGAGTCTATCTCATATATTAGTTTCACCTTTTAAGTTGCATTACTGAAATAAATAAACTTTTGCACAATATTCTAAGTTTTCGAGTTTCACCTGTAGATGTGCACAGGGAGGGTGATCGGCAACCAATCCCCTATATGGCTCTTGAGAGGGAGAGAAGAAGAATCCAGCTTTCAGATGTTGCTGAGAGAGCCATACAGGGCATCGGTTCCAGTAATTCAACCCCCCCCCCCCCACCACCACTGTGCTGATCACCCTCCCTGCCCACATCCAATTCACCCAGCTGCCTGGGCCGTCCTGCTGGCCTGGGCCCCGTACAGGAGGATTGGTGGTACCCCCTTATCCACAGCCCTGCCAACAGGAGCCGGATGATCAGGGCGATCACTGTAGTATTAATGACTACTACAGTGATTGTCAGCTTCCCCAGAAGCCCATCAACTATGAGATATGCAGACTTACATTGCGCGAAAACTGGATCATCAATAAGTATGCAATAAAAGCTGCCGATTTAACCACTTGTCCTCCAGAGTATTTACCCCCCTTCCTGACCAGGCCATTTTTTGCGATACGGCACTGCGTTACTTTAACTGACAATTCGCGGTCATGCAACGCTGCACCAAATGACATTTTTGTCCCTTTTTCCCACAAATGGAGCTTTCGTTTGGTGGCATTTGAAAGCCTCTGCACTTTCTATTTTCTGCACTATAAACAAAAAAAGACCGACAATTTTGGAAAAAAAACAATATTTTTGACTTTTTGCTAAAAAACATATCCAGTAAAAACATTTAAAAAATGAAATTTCGTCATAAATTTAGGCCATAATGTATTCTGCTCCATGTCTTTGATAAAAAAAAAATCCCAATACCTGTATATGAATTGGTTTACGTGAAAGTTATAGCATTTACAAATGGTGGTATATATACTGTAATTTTATTTTATTTTTTTTTTTTATACTAGTATTGGCGGTGATCAGCGACTTATAGAGGGACTGCAGCAGGCATTCTAACACTGGGGGGGACTGACTAACTGCCACTAACATCCTCAGTGACATTAATACAGTGATCAGTGCTAATAAAAAGCACTGACACTGTACTAATGACACTGGGCAGGAAGGGGTTAACATCTGGGGCCATCAAAGGGTTAACTGTGTGCTGTTTTTTACTGTGTAACCATGTTGCTGTGTATTGCTCTACTATGCAGAGCAATACAAAGCAGCATGCTGGTGCTGACAGGGGAGAGATTGGTATTGTTTACATACAGACCTCTCCCCTCTCAGTGTTCCTTGGCGATTGCCGGGTGCCGGTGGGGAATCTCTGGCCGGGAGCTAGTGATGGTGATGCAGGTAGGACATGAGCGTGCCCCTTACCCAGAAATACAAAATCATGTATGTATGTGTGTATATGCATATATACAGTCAGGTCCATAAATATTGGGACATCAACACAATTCTAACATTTTTGGCTCTATACACCACCACAATGGATTTGACATGAAACTAACAAGATGTGCTTTAACTACAGACTGTCAGCTTTAATTTGAGGGTATTTACATCCAAATCAGGTGAACGGTGTAGGAATTACAACAGTTTGCATATGTGCCACCCACTTGTTAAGGGACCAAAAGTAATGGGACAGAATAATAATCATA